AAAATACGATTTTTCTGAGATCACCGAAAAGTCACCAAAAGAGGTACGACTTTTTATCAGTAGATTTTCATCGAAGCTAGAAGACAAATGGAAGAAAAGCGGAAAAAGCAGGGAGCATTTTTCAATAACAACCCTGCAGGAAACTTAATTAATTTAAAAGTAATTTATAAACTACTTTATTTTCAATGACAACTAATTGAAATTCTCACTATTTTACCTGCAACGAACTCATTTATTTAACATGGTGATGTCCTAGGAAGCAGTCAATTACCTTTTCCTGCATGTATTTTCAACAAATTTAAAAAGCATTTGGATTAAAACACTTTAAGGTCAGTCGTTTGAATTCGCTTTCATTCTGCACTTCACAGATGCTTTTTCATAATTAAGAAAACCCGAAATTAAAAATTTTAAATTAAATGAGATTTGAACATGGACATTCTTGGCTGCGACCAGTTGTAGCAAACATCTTGCACGCTCAGCTACAGCCAGGCATGTAAATGCGCTTTCAAATATTCAGCTTGAATTGTGTGCAAGCAGCAAGTCGACTGTCCTATTCTGCATTTAATTTCAAGTACTTAAAAATGAATTTGGTCTAAACAACTTCATTTTTGCATTTGTTTTAAGGTAGTCTTTCAATTAGTTGATTAAAAAAAAATCACTTGTTTCCGTCAGGGAATGAATGGGTGGTGGAAGACTTAGTCTTCCATATCTCCATTCATAAAGAGCAACCTTCGACCTACCAAATCTCTCTTGTTTTGTATATATAATAAAACTGTGCTCGGATCTTGAACTTTTTATCTTGAGCACAGGTTTTAGTGGTTCAATGTACTTAATTGGGACCTTCTAAATTCAAGTCCCCGTTTTGCTGGATTGGATCCAGTTTCCGAGGTAAAGGTAATTGAAAATTTTAACTTTTTTTAAATAACTCCCTAAAGTTATATTTCCAAAATTTTGTACGTGACTGTTTTTTAATATTACTATTTCTGAAAATCACCGAAATCGGTTTACTATACCATATAGCTCTCATGCAACTGGTTATTAACATATTTTTGAGTAAAAAGTCTCGTATATGAACAATCAGTTGTATGAGAGCTATATGTTATAGTTAACAGATTTAGATGATTTTCGAAATAGTTAAATTAATACTAAAAAACAATCACGTGCAAAATTTTAATAAAATAATCTTAAAACTCTGAGATTTATTTACAAAAACGTTAAAATTTAAGCAAATTTTCAAGTACCGTTATCTCGAAAACTGGAGCCATCATCAACTATCAGAACCTTTACCTAAATTTTCAACTTACACAGTGTAATTAATCTTAATAAAGAAAGATTTTATTTTTCCAGCATGAGATGGATTTTTTATTTAGTCTTATGTATAAAGTTTTTAAATTGTTTTTGATATTTTAAAAATAATTTTTTAACAGCTGGCAGCTTTTTTATTTTATAGGGGGAAGACATATAAAAAAATGTGTTTGGATTAAGACTTCCTCAATCACCTTTCATTTGATCCCAATTTTGTAATATTTCATTTAAGTTTTACATATTTTTTAAATGGGTGGCAACTCTTTTACTTTGAGTCCAATAGGGCTTAACTTTACAGAAACCATCTCCAGACTACGTCAGAGTATTTCTGTTAATAACATCAAAATCCACGATTGAGAGAAATAGAGATTGCGCCAATCGCGGTACCGCTAATCCGCTCTTTGTGATTTTGACAGAATGAGCTGTGTGCGTGACGTCATCTTGGTGCAATTGTTGATTGTGAGCATACGAAAAAACCAAATAACAATTTTAATATTTGTGCGTTAATATTCTGCGTGGTTTTAAACAATTATTGAGACATTACAAAGCAAAATGAAGTGTGCAGTGGCAAAGTGTAATAGTGAAAACAAAAGGAAAGCGTGCGATATAAGTTTTTTTCCTTTCCTACGGACGCAAACCAGGCGAAAAAGTGGAAGCAGTTCTGCCGGCGAGGAGATGCATTAAACACCAAAACCAAAAAATTACGCTCAAAAATCCTCTCTCATTGGCGCAATCTTGTATTCTATAATTCTTGATCATCAGCGGTTTCGAAGTCTTCGAAAACGTACACACATTATATACATACATACCAGTGATCAGCATGCGGTGCCTTTTTCGAGACATCAAGTATACTCGCAAACAATGCGGTGTAAGTATAACCGCCACCGCAAGCAATGCGATATTTGTGTGCATCGCATTTTTTGTCGCGTTCGTGTTTGCGATGACTTGTATGACCAAAGCGTCGTTACTGCATATTGTGGCACCGCATTTTCATGTCGACTTCGACTATGCGGTGGTATGAGCGGTCGTTTAAACCTCAGTATATCCAGTAAACAAACCTAGCTATTTTTTTCCACCAAGTTTGGTCCCCATAAAGGACTAGTGTTGCAAGCAACGCTTTTTCGGCAAATAGGGTGATGTGCAGCTATTTAATGTGGTGAAAATTATTTAAGCACTGGGGAGAATTATTCACATGAAATAGGAGATAGGGCTGATAGATTTACTTTAAATAAATTGTGAATCTGCGAAAATATCTTTTCAGCAGATGAATATGTTTTTTAACTTTTTTCCCGAAAATTTACATACAGGCTCGAAATTATGCGAGTAACATTCAAATATCGTCGCTTGGATGGAAAATTGCCGGAAGCGTCATTTTGAAAATTTGTAGTTATAGATGCAGTTATATATTTTAAAGTAAGATATTTCGATTTTTTGTTAACTGGTTTTTGGATATCTTCTTTAGTTTCCGAGTAATTTACTAAAATATTTTCGGCTATTTGGTACAAATTGCGTTAGTATTGCTGTCGTACTAAACTAATCAAGATCTTTCAAAGAGAGTTACCTGTTCTTCTTTAGTTTCCGACACATTCAGCCTTATCATGAGTTTCATTTTCTAGAACCGGGTCACTTTTTCACTTTTCGTTTGCGTGTATTCACTACAGGTGGATGAAAAAATTGTTGGCGAAATTTTGTTCGGGCGAATCTCACGGTTAGGCTGATTAGTAAAAAGTATCGTTAATTTATAAAAAATTGCTATCACATTTTGGCGTATATCATTAAAACTTACTGCAAATTTTTTGACAAATGTCATATACGACAAAATTTTATTAAACTCATAAATGGTTGACACTAAACTAAAAAAATAAGATAATTTAAGAATTTCGTGAACTAGTACATAGCATCCTCCGACACTTTGGAGAAGATCTGTAGTCGTGTTTCTGAGAAAATGCATTCCAAACTTCAATCTTGAGTTGCCGAAAGTAACTTGTTAAATAAGTTATAATTGTCATTATTCTCGCAGTTGGAGTATATGCCAGACGAGTAACAGGTATATACATACAAGTATACCTAAATTAGCGCGTTAAGCTTGTATATTTATCTCTCTCTAACGCATTAATTCTATATACGTCAGCACCAACAAAATATTCATGAAATGTATTCGCAGATTTTTATTTACTTCATTTCATACATTAGTATTGATCTGAATGTTTTTTTACTAAATACCAGGAATAAATATTTAATAAAAAACTATTTCATATAAGCTTAACCAGCTTTTAGTTGCTCGGTGCTAATTTTGGAACGCTTCATGAAATATTTTCATAGACGGTAAACGCAACCATGGGTGCATCATTAATGAGCTGAAAACCCAAAACAAATATAAAAATTCCATCTGAACCAATATTCCCAACAAGTAATTTTTAGCAAAAAAAAAAACGACTTCAACTCCCATATAAAAAAAAAATATATATATCTCATGATCCACTGATCGGATCTCAACCAGATTAGTATGGGACCACCTCTGAGACACTACCTTTCCGATGCAAATTATCGAAATCGGTTGACGTGGTCCAAAGTTATGCGGTAACATACATAAAAAAAAAAATATATATATATTCCGACGAACTGATGAGGCGGTTATCAGTTCGTCGGAATATATATATTTTTTAAATATAAAAAAATATAAAAATTATAAAGCAAAACAAAAACAAGTTTTCCAATTTATGCACTGTTATTTTTAACCGACTTCCAAAAAAGGAGGAGGTTATCAGTTCGTCGGAATATTTTTTTTTTTTTTTTTTGCATCGGAAAGGTAGGGTCTCAGAGGTGGTCCCATACTAATCTGGTTAAGATCCGATCAGCGGATCATGAGATATATATATATATATATTTTTTTTATATGAGAGTTGAAGTCGGTTTTTTTTTATGCTAAAAATTACTTGTTATTATTGCAATACAGTTTCAGCTCTTGAAACATTTTCCACATTAATCTTTTAAAGCTAGTAGTTTCCGACCCCATTTGCTCGTTTTTTTTAGTTCTGAATTTAGGCTAGGTTTTATGAGAACTTACTGTGGGTGCATACAGACCACATTTTGTAAATATGTACATATATATGTATACACGTCAACTGAATTGTGATATTTAATTTTATTTTATAATGAATAATGAATTTGTGCAATTTTTTATGTTTACAAGATGTAAGACAATTTTCAATTTTCTTTATATATTGCATGCTTTAGTTTTAATTCTTTTTAAGTTAAGTTGTAAAGTTGAAAATAGGCCTCTTGGGTAACCGAGCACCTTAAAAAAAAAAAATCAGTAACGCGCCTAAAAGCATACCTCCCAGGTGGTGTGGAAAATGCAAGAACAAATATAAATGGAATAATTTTCGAAATTATAAAATGGTTATTGGTATTTTCCATCTCTAAGGTGAGCATTAATTTGAGCGTTATTTAAGATGCCTTTACACGGTCGATTTTTGTCGTTTAACTAAAATCTACCCGTGTAAATTGCTATTTAACCGTAAAATGTAAGCGTTTTGGCTGGTCGATATCTCAGTCAATTTTCCAATCGACAGAAATCGACCCGTGTAAGGCAACTTCAGGAATTTTTTAATTTTCTTTTTTTTGCTTGGGCGCCTTTTGAAGATGTGCCACATTATATTGTCGCCTTAAATACAAAAAAAAAAACAATTTCTTCAAGCCATCTTGCGTAGCAGTTTGTTGATCTTCTGCTCACGGCTACCGAAATCACCAACCTCAACGTAATGATTAGCCTTCCTGCGCCAGCCTCGGGTTGATGTGTTGAGCTTGAATGGCATCAGGAAGTTGGAGGCTTTCTTGAAGTGGGTTCCAACAGTGAATATTTCGTGCGCCAAATAATCAACGCACTGAATTCCGTGCGCTTTGCGCAATTTGCGTTCGATCACAAAGCTGTCTGTCAGAGATTGGGACACGTTGATGGTTGTGCTTGACAATTCCACGTTTGTACATCAATTCACGAACTGATTTAAGATTTGGATAACCCCATATAAGGTTCGGCATACGTAGCATATTAATGGTTGCCTTGTTCAATTTGATAAACAAACATTGGTTAATGTGGCGAAAACGGAACAACAGTAAAACTTTACGCACTTTTGGTGCAACTTTGTTGATGCCGCGGATACGGATCACAAAAGCCAATTTGGATTTTTCGGGCACGTAGAATTGGCAGCGTTTTTTGCCACACGGCGCAACTTCATCTCACGGCGTCCATCACGGAGTTTTCTTGTTTGATATTTCTCAGCATGCACCAAGTTTTCACATTTATGGAGTGTAATCGCAGCAGAGCGCTTTAGTTTACGTTTGATCAGGGTAGCAATTTGCTGACCTGCTTCTTGCTGAACTTCAACTATGACTCAGGGACAGGAGGCAGCTTCCTGGAAGGTTGTCTACCCTTTGCTTGCGGTTTCTTACCGGCCGTGATGGCAGTCATCTTAACTTGTTACACATTGAGAAGGCGAAAAAAAAGTTCGCCAAATGTTTGGAGCACATCGTAAATGAGCCACTATTAAAAAATTTAAATACTTTTTAATACATAGATATGCTGCAACATTGAACAAGTAGTATCAGTAGACCAACTGATTTGATTTTTTTTGTTTCAAACTATTTGGTCTCGAAAATGTTAAATATTTTTAATTTCTTCGCACAAATATTCTAAATTGTTAATATCTATTTGCATGTGAAACCTTTTTCCATACTAACAGGCTAACCTAATATTCACGCACGCCGCCAATTTATTGTCAAAAATTTCTCATGCACATGCAACTTGTATGAGATCAACCGAAATTGAACGGCGTGCGTATGAAGCTAACTCAATTTCCAATTTTTGTTCTGCGTGACATTTTGATTTGACGTTTCGCTCAATGAAATCAAATGCAAACGCACGCAAGCCAATTTCGGGTGACGCAAAAAAACAAATTCGGCGGCGTGCGTATCAAAACGCAAGCCGCGAATATTAGGTTAGCCTGTAAACAAGCTACTGAATAGCAGCTTTTGAAACGTTCGCCCAACTCAGAAGCACAACCGCTGATTACTGGGTCTTGCAAAGGATGGATCAATGCTTCGACAAGCAAATAAATTTACTAAGAAAGAAAAAATTAAAAATTAAATTTTTTATTTTATATTATTATGTATTTCACATGGCACGTTTTGATTTAGAAGAAAAATATCAGAACAGTTTTTGACACTTTCGATACCAGAAGGAACAACAAAATACACGCAAATGTTCCCCCTTATTCTGGAACCCGAATTTTCGTAATTCGTGATTCGCAGCTAGCTTCTAAGCTATTTTGAAACATTTGTTTTATTTTTATTTATCGCCCAGTCAGAGGGAAAGTGAATTTAAGTTTGCGATAAAACTCATAGGGGTTGTTCCTTGAACTATTTAAGGAGAAATTTATTTTTGCATTTTGCTCAGAAATTCGAACTTTTCGAATAGTGATTTTTTTTAGTACGAACGCTTCTTTTTTCCTCTCTTAATAGCAACTTTTGATGAAACCGCTTATAAGATCCCTCTCCTTTTGATACAGAGTATATTAGAGAAAATCTCGTCAAAATTCGTTCAATAGTTTTCGAGAATACCGCGTGCAAAAAATCTCGACTTTCCTTTATACTATGTATAGATGTTGTTTCTGATCTTGTAATCATCAGCTTAAATAATACATAAGTACATATCGTCGTTTAAAGTACAAAACCGCTTATCGTCGTTCTGCAAAACGCGTAACTGACATTTTTTTTGGCAAAAATTGGATTTGCTGACACAAGCTCTTGGCTCAAGCCTTATCCATTCTTGCTGCAATATACTAGCCAGAAATGCGACTGCTTTATAAAAAAGAGAACCATTTTGAAATATGAGTGTTTTTACATTTCATAAAGCTGGTAAGCATTGCGTCGTTTGAAGTACAAAACCGCGTATCAACAAAATGCGAAACCACGTATCAAGATAATGCAAAACTGCGTATGTGAGGTTGCATAAATTATTTTCTAAGAGTAAAAACACTCATTTCTCAAAATGGTTCTCTTTTTTATAAAGCAATCGCATTTCCTGCTAGTATATTTCAGGACGAATGGATAAGGATTGAGCCAAGAGCTTGTATGAGCAAATCGAATTTTTGGCAGCAAATGTCAGTTACGCGGTTTTGCATAACGACGATATGCGGTTTTGTACTTTAAACGACGATTGGTAATGCTCAATCAAATGTAAAACAATTTATTTTTCTTGTCCGCGCACTTGGTTTTTTTTTCAAGCATAACGCGAGTCGGTCAAATAACAGTCATCAAATTCAAATCAAAATTTTGTGATTTTCATTAAGCATAACTAACTTTATTTCAAAGGACAGTCCATTATTTTAATCCCCTGTCCTATATAATTTTTTTCAAAATAAAGGACGCCATTTGTCTTTTATTTCTTAAACTGTCCTTTAAATCAGCTCTGCATTTTTCAGAGGTAAATTTTTAAACACAGAATATGAGAAATAAAAATGTCACTTACAAAAAATATAGTGAAAACCTTCGCCAGTTTGTTTCGCACCCAACTTAAGTGTTTCTATTTAATCGGTGGTGCGGAGATTTACAAGCAAAGTTGATGCGAGGATTCCGATAAACTATGCGGCGGGGTTTCCAAATGAAAGACGCGGTTTATGCGATTAACCAATTCATTTAATCAACTTTTAATGGATTTTACAGGAAATATAAGCGGGGCGAACGAGTATGCGAGCAGTAGCAAAAATATATATCGAATGCAAAGAAAACGAAGGGGTGAATAGCAAATGTCAAAAAAACGTTTACTATTAACTCCTGTGTGATGTCAAAGCATTAACCCTTGCGAACGCATGAACCTTAACTCTTATGTATGTTTTACATGTATACATTAAATCTTTGGAGTTAGCATATTCGAGCTCAACATACCGCCGCCCTTGAACTGTTATATTAAAATGTTCAAAACAAGATACAAAAAGAAATTAAATACTACAAATAATCTGTAAGTGGTAAAATCAAAACAAAATAGTTGATAGTTAAACTATGAGCTTGTCCCTTCGGAAAATACATCATCTTTCGTAGGTAGAAGGCACAGCTTGGCTATTGGACGAACAAATTCTCCATTCGACGTTCTCACTGTCACGACTCGCACGCGACCATCGGTTCCAGGGTGGCACCGCGCTACCCTTGCAAGCGTCCACTTAGTCGGAGGCGTAGGCTCGTTGAAGATAGCTACAACATCCCCATCTTCGAGATTACGTGAGGGTCGAAACCACTTAGTACGCCGTTGCAGGCTGACGAGATACTCGTCTCTCCAACGACACCAGAAGTGCTGTCTTATTGCAGTGATTAATTGCCATCGCTGATGGAGACTTCCGCAGAACCCTTGACCCTCAGGTTCTGGGATCGACTTTAGAGGCTCGCCGACGATAAAGTGCACTGGCGTTAGAGCTTCGAGGTCGACTGCAGTTGTCGTGCCCTCACATAACGGACGGGAGTTCACGCAGGCTTCCACTTCTGTTAGTAACGTATTGAATTCTTCGTACGACAGCAGAGTTTCGCCTAAAACGCGTTTTAGGTGGTACTTGATGCGTTTGATACCGGTTTCCCAGTATCCACCCATATGAGGCGCGGTCGGCGGATTGAAACGCCACTCTATGTTGGAATCGGCGAAAAATGATTGAAGAGTGAAGTCTGCCATGCACTTTTCATATCTGCTACGAAGTTCCTTCTCAGCGCCGACGAAATTCGTACCATTATCGGAGAACATTGTCTTACAATACCCTCTACGGTTGATGAAACGCTTGAACGCGTTGAGAAAAGAAGACGCCGATAAGTCTCCTACGAATTCTAGTTGCATTGCGCCAGTACACATGCAAATAAACGAGCAAATGTAGCCTTTCGTAGATTTTGCCCCTCTTCCATGCGTGAACTTGTACATATACGGGCCGGCGAAGTCTACAGCGGTGCGTGTGAAGCAGCGGACATAGGTTGTTCGAGACGCAGGTAGGTCACCCATTGATTGCGTTGCAAGGTTGCGGTTAAGACAAGTGCATTTAACGCACTTACGATAAGTTTTGCGGATCAAGCTGCGGGCACCAATCACCCAGTAACGGCGTTGTAAAACCACCTGCATTATGCGTGGTCCGGCATGTAGAGTGAAGTGATGAATGTCGAGGATTATTAACTTCGATAGCGGAGAACCTTTAGGCAAGATGACTGGATGTCTTACATCGTGCGCCACATCTGTTGACCTCAGTCGACCTCCAACTCGAAGAATACCGTTCGGATCAAAAAAACGGCTGTAAGCGCAACAGGCTACTGCGGAGCGGGATCGGCCTTTTTGCGCAGCAATGAGAAATTTCGTTAGCAAAGAAAAAATGTTGGGTATACCTAATTAAACGGCGCTCAGCTTCGGCTATCTCTACACAGCTAGGAGGACCATATCGTTTATTGCCGGAGCGTTGAGCTCCAGAGCGGGTGTTGCAAATAAACCGTAGAACATAAGCGATGATTCGTCGTAATTTCGCGTACGAAGAATATTTTGTCATTATCGACCAATGACTATCCGAGTTTGCAACGTGAGTGTGAACCTTCTTCCGTAGCCCCAACTCGGTTGTGACCGGGTTAGAAGAGGCTTGCTTCCAAAACTGGTTTGAAGTGCTCAGAAAATCTGGACCAGTCCACCATTGCTCATGGTGCAAAAGTTCGAGCGGCGTTATGCCTCTAGAGGCGCAATCCGCGGGATTTCTTTCAGAGCGTACGTGATTCCAACAATCAGGCGGTAGAATTTCGTGAATATCAGCAACACGATTGGCAATAAACGTCTCCCATCTACTGGGATGTGCTTGCAACCATGCCAACGTGATTGTAGAGTCTGTCCAAGCAAAAAGAGGGTAACGGAGATCGCCCCAACTATGTTGTACACTGTTCACCAACTTGGCAGCGAGATGGGCCGCGCACAGTTCCAGGCGAGGTAAAGAAGTAGGTTTTATTGGCGCCACTTTGGTCTTGGACGAAACTACTGCAACTGAGACGTGGCCATCGCTGTGAACAGTACGGGCGTATATAACTGCAGCGTAAGCGCGCTCAGAAGCATCAGCAAAAATATGCAACTCTGTGAGCGATCCAAGCGTTCCAGAGCCGAGCCAGCGATTCACCTTCAAGTTCGCCAATTGCTGCAGCTGTGAACGATGATCAACCCACAGCCTTGCGATTGTGCCTGGTATCAGCTCGTCCCATCCAACCTCGGCACGCCAAATGTCCTGAAACCACATCTTGGACCTTATTGTCACAGGTGCAAGCAAACCAAGTGGATCGAAAATAGTACTGGCGTCAGATAAAAAGGCTCTCTTAGTTAGAATAACAGGTGGCCGATTCAGGTCCACTGTGAATGTTAAATAGTCGCCTTCTATGTTCCAAAAGAGGCCAAGCGCGTTAACGTCCTTACCGTTGACCATGTAATGCGGTATACTTTGAGATGCGTTGGATATACTCTCATTTACCTCTGCACAGTTAGATGCCCACTTCCGCAGTTCAAAGCCGCCTTCTTTGAGAATGCCAGAGACAGCTTGTTGAAGTGACTTAAGTTCTATTTTGCAAGAAGCCCCAGTTAATAAGTCGTCCATATAGAAGTCCTTGAGGATCACAGCCACGGCTTCCTTGCAGCTACTAGACGCGCACTTAGGAGTTTGTTGCATCGACTTGACTGCCAAGTGAGACGCGGTGGCCACCCCATACGTTACGCGCAGCATCCGGTAATCCTTAATTGGTGAATACGGATCGGGACGCCAAACGATTCGCTGCAAGTGGACGTGCTTTGGTGAAACGCAGACTTGTCGGTACATCTTCGCGACGTCTGCGGTTACCGCGTGCCGATGCGTCCTGAAGCGCAGCAATATGGAGTATAGATCTTGTTGCAGTTGAGGCCCGAAAAACAGTGCGTCATTTAGCGAATTCCCTGTGGTAGTTTTGGCGGACGCGTTGAAAACAACCCGCAGCGTGGTCGTTACACTGGACTCCTTTATTACTGGGTGATGCGGCATATAATATCCTTCGCCCGTCGTTTCAGATACCATCTCCATGTGACCCATTTCAATAAGTTCTTGCATGAACTCATTGTAACCTAAGCGCAAATCGTAGTTACCTGCGAGCCTTCGTTCGATGCGTAACAGGTTGCGAACCGCGAAGTTGCGTGACTCGCCCAATGATACGTTAGGCTTTAGCGGTAACTCAACGACAAAGCGACCGTCAGGCGTTCTTTTGTGCGTGGAATCGAAGTGCCTTTCACAGAAGCTTTCTTCGAGCGTAAGATGCGTTTTCTACGGCAACTCTTCCAGCTCCCACAATTTAGCGAGCGCTCGATCCAGATGGACGTCGCAATGCAGTGACGGTAAACGCAGCGCGGGTGAAGCACAACTGTCGACACTTCCGAACAAAGTCCACCCAAAAACTGTTCTCTGAGCCATAGGAGCGCCAGTCGGACCTTTACGAAGCTCGGTGCAGATGAATCGGTCCATAACATCCATGCCAACCAGAATGTCTATGCGGCTAGGCTTCGCATAATGCGGATCTAGGAACAATCCTTGAATATGCGGCCAATTCGAAACATTTAAAGTCTGTGTTGGCAAATCGTTTGTGATTTTGGGAAGAATCAATGCACTAAAAGCGTAGCATTCATCTGAGCAGTAAGACGAAAGCGAGAGCAGCGTCTCGCCTCTACAGCGACCTCCTTGCGATGAACAAATTCCGGTGACGAATACAGAAGAGGATGTGCGTGGAAGACCCAAGCGCTGTACACATGCCTCCGTTACGAATGAGGCGTGCGACCCGGAATCAAACAATAAACGTGCGGTCTGTCAATGATCCGAACGATCACGAACCTTTACTAGTGCGGTAGCTAATATCACGGTTTTTTGCGTTGCAGGGGGCAGACTAGAACCAGAACTTAAGCAAGATGAAACGTGAGTAGCAGCGCTATCCGCTTGCAAAGCGATGGCAGATGAGTCGGCTGCATGATTGCTGGCAGATGCGGTATTTGGAGCGATGCCGTTAGCCTCGACGACATGAGCGGATGTGGTAGCGGGCGAGCCCGCAGTACTATGAAGCAGCGTATGATGACGTTGGTGACATACTCTGCATGCCGACGTGCTGTTACAGCGCTCCTTGTAATGCCCTGGACTCAGACAATTCAAACATGCTTTCGATTCCTTTATGAACTTAGACTTAGCGGTTGAGTCTAAACTGCGAAACTTGTCACAAGCAAAAATTTTGTGAGCTGCATTACAGTACATGCAGCGCGTGAGGTTCTGCTCCGGAACAGCGTGAAACACTTTGGTTGATTTGCCAGCTGATTTCTGTGTAGTCGACTTGATAATCGAGGTCTGAGCTGAAGGCGTGGTAAGCATTGCTAATGAGCGACATCTTATCTCCAAAAACGACGTCAGCTGTTCAAATGTCGGAGGCTCATCACTAACAAGTGAAAGCTCCCACTGCTTTCGGGTCTCGAGCGCAAGTTTGTTGACAATTTCATGCACCAACCAATCGTCCCAAAATTCGACGGGGCGCCCTAACGCTTTGAGCTCTCGAATGTGTTGCTGAAATGCATCGATAACGCTCTTTATAGCATCAGCAGCGTCACTCGTAGCCTTGCGAATATCAGCTATCGCCCTAAGATGTGCTTCAACGATTACTCGCATGACCTTGTAGCGGGACTTCAGCAGGTTCCATGCCTCTGCATAGTTCGCCTCGCATATCTTGAAGCCGCATATAATACTTAACGCGTCCCTTTTAGGCAGCTGCGCAAATAATGTAATTTTTGCACGTCTGATAGAGCAGCGTTCGTGTCAACCAACGAACAAAAAGCATCGTAAAAGGCTATCCACTCCGTGGAATCGCCAGCAAATGTGGGTAATCCATTTTCGGCAAACGTATTGATGCAGACACAGCCTTTGATGCGGGTGCGGGTTGCATTGCCGATTCCGTGCGACACTTCTGGACACGTTTGAAGTTGGCCAGGGCTGTAGCATACCAAGTCTCGCCTTGCACGCGAGCATTTTCCTCCACTTCAGCATTTTCAAGACCACAAGATGTTTCGACTGCATCTTGGGCAGTGTTGAAACGGACCCATTGCTCATTGAGGAGCTGCAAATAACTTTCGACACTGTCGAAGTCCATGGCAAATGCATCATCTATACTTTTTGCCATGTACCTCTTAATAGCGTTTAGTGCGGAATCGCGGGTTTTCACGGAGGCAGACATTGCGTTAATTTTACTTTATGGGTCGTTTCAAGGTGAAGTTTAAAGCACGGCGGATTTGAAAAATTACACTTGCACAATGTCGAATGTAGGACAACTTACAATTCGTAGAGGGCTAATCAAAGTCACCGCAGGTTGTCAAAATTATAAATATCGAATACAAACAGTTTGTAGAGGTCAAATCAAAGTCACCTTGGCTTCTCGAGAATTCGTTATGTTGAATTAAGAAACAGCTTCTAATATAACTACTGCACACCAAAGTTCTATTTAATTTCAGCAAAAATGTCTGATTTATAATAAGTTTTGTAGCGGGGAACACACTGTGTTTATTTATTGCAAATCTATACTTGCACTTTTACGAGCGGGTTGTTTAAATCCGGACCGAAGGACCAGCATATGGTGCCGAGATTTACAAGCAAAGTTGATGCGAGGATTCCGATAAACTATGCGGCGGGGTTTCCAAATAAAAGACGCGGTTTATGCGATTAACCAATTCATTTAATTAACTTTTAATGGATTTTACAGGAAATATAAGCGGGGCGAACGAGTATGCGAGCAGTAGCAAAAATATATATCGAATGCAAAGAAAACGAAGGGGTGAATAGCAAATGTCAAAAAAACGTTTACTATTAACTCCTGTGTGGTGTCAAAGCATTAACCCTTGCGAACGCATGAACCTTAACTCTTATGTATGTTTTACATGTATACATTAAATCTTTGGAGTTAGCATATTCGAGCTCAACAATCGGTAATCTTAGTACAATCTACAAAGCACAGGGAATGTTGTGCCCAGGATCGTGTTGCACGCTGAGTTTCCAGTTCCACTGAAAGAGAACAATAGACCCCCTGCTGCACAGTGGTTTAAAACTGGCATTTAGTGTTCGTAAGTCACTGGAGCCTCAATTTTTAATTTTTTTTTTTCATTTCTTTTATTTTTTAATAAATTTTACATAAGAAAAGTAGTTGAAAACAATTGCATGGTTCTAACAAAACGAAAAAAATACCCAAAAATAATTTGAAATGTTAAAAAAAATGTTCACCAAAATAAATATTTTTTCCGGTTTTTAGTAAAAATTAGTTGAATTATGGAAAACGAATTTTGCTAGCAAAGGATGCGAAGTCCTTGGAAAGGATTTGGCATAATTTTTCGCTACAGCAGGGGAACTTGTACAATTAAATAAAAAATTAACTGGTTAATTATTAATAAATTAATTTTTAATTTATTTAATTTTTCGCTACAGCAGAGGAACTTGTATAATTAAATAATATAATTAACTGGTGATTTAAATTACGATATTGGTAAGGTACTTTTATCATCCAAGTTGTATGTACCTACCAAATCATTAAAAAAAAATGTCATTTATTTTACTTTGGTTAATATGGTCAACGTAAGCATAACCGACAACGAGCCGGAGTAGTGCATGATTCAATAATAAAAGGTTTGCTCAGAAAACAGTTTTCTCGCTCCCTCTTGACAAAATCGGCTCCCTTAGGAAGGCACTGTGTGTGTGTGTGTGTGTGTGCAAACGCTTTTGTAAGGGAGTTAAGGGAGTGTCAAAACTCGAATGTCACTAGTGAGCAAACCTATAAATTATTGAATCATAGGTGTAGTTCAGGTGACAAATTCTCCACATTGAAAACACAAACATTTGTTTTATATTTATTTCAACACATAAATAACGAATAAATTAACAATTCAAAGTTTCTCTAAACACAAGTGAAACAAGTTAATAATACACTGCGTCGCATAATTATAAGACTGCCACATCCTCCTGAAATATACTAGCAAGTGTTGACTATTTATTTTTAACCGACTTCAAAAAAAGGAGAAGGTTATCAATTTGTCGGAATATTTTTTTTGTATGTTACCGCTTAATGTGGTCCCATGCTGATTGGGTTTAGATCCGATCATTGGATCATGAAAAAATTAACTATAGTACTAATTTTTTATATGAAAACTGAGGTCGGTTGTGTTTTTTGCTTGAAAATTACTTGTTAAATCATTTAATGATAATTGAATTACTTGCAAAATAAATAGCTTTCGTTCTTCATCTTTCGTCAAAGTTCAAGTATAATTTTGTACCAATGCTATACCTCGTTCAGCAATATCATTAGCATATTTAAAACTTTTAATCGTCGCTAAGACAACCAATTTTAGGGCAATTTTTTAAAGAATTTAATGCCCTTTAAGAATATGCATACAAAAAACGTCTATCTCTTTTTTATTACTTTTTTTAACGGGTCAAAAGTTATAACATTTTTAATGAAAACAAATTATTTTACATGTTTTTTACATAGAAAATTTCAAATGCCCACCTTTTAAAATGGAAATACAAATTTTTCCAAATGGGAGAATTTCCTTCTCAGTAAATAGGTAGTTTTAAGGCTATAAATTCGCCAGGTTAGTATTTTGGATCACCCTAATATATATATAAATACAAGAATAACTAGTTTACAGTAATAAGAATAAATGGAAAATTTCCCGGAAAACATCCCCCAAAAAAAGTCTGGATCCGCCGCTGGACCTGTGTTATTTTTGATTATGTACTTGGATGTGAAATAACGCAAATTTTTTAAGCATATTTGCGCTCCAATGCAAAGAACATACTTGTTATAGGCCATCTAACAAATGCTTTTATCTAATTCGCTCTCCCACTCGTAATTGGCTCTATCATTCGTAATTGGCGCCTCAATTACCCCTCGAATTACGTGATTTGCCATACAAAATATTGTGAGCGAATTACCTCATTTGTAGGTAATTCAGATCCAATTACCACGAGAATTACGAACAAAACGCTGCCGCCTCTAATTTTAAGGTATTGGCCCAATGCACGCTTGCTTTGCTTACTTTAGTTTGCTTTGCTTTACTTTCAAGCAAGTGAAGTAAAGCTGCCACTAGGCCAACTTTCATACATTTTAGTAGATTTTAAAAATTGTTTGACAGTTCTCAAAGCCAAGCAAGCAAAGCAAGCGTGCATTGGGCCAATGCCTTTAATCGGAAATTTATCGAACATTTTCCCACGTTCACATTCTTCGTTCGATTTGACAGTTCTCTATGTTTGTGTTTTGTTTTGTTTTCTTCGCTACAAATAGCTAAAAATTTATGAGTTTCCGTATTAAACTATTTCCGTTCTCAGAAAAAGTGCCAGTTTTGATTTGTGAACTGGTGTGGATAAATTTCTGATAAAAATTAAAGATGGCAGCGATTTGTTCGTAGTTCTCAGGATAATTGGATCTGAATTACCAACAAATGAGGTAATTCGCTCGCAAAAGTTAGTATGGCGGCTTACATAATTCGGGCGAATTACGAATGAGAGCGCGAACTACGTAATTGAGGTGCTATGTGAAAACCGTATTATATAAGGCTAAAAGGCGTTTTCACTGTTCAGCTCACATAGGCGGTTAGTTGAATCAAAGGTTTACATCATTTAACTGAAGGTTGGAAAATATAAACTCCTTTTAAATACAATGATTGTGTACGATTAGGCCATAATAATATTCTGAACGAAATTTTTGAAAATGTCATCACGCTATAAAACCTGAAAAGGAGGACATTTTTGCTCAAAAGGAGGACAGAGAAGGACAATATTTTTGAGGAGGACAAATCACGTTTGATGAGGCCAATCCTCCTCAAAGGAGGACGGTTGGTCAGCTTAGTGTAGTTCACGTGTAGCTGACAAAAACCGACGACACCAATACACTTATAGCGTTTATAAAAATATTGATCCGTCTCTGTGGCGCTTTATACCATGTTCTGACCGACATCGAAAACATATTTTTGTTGCTAAAACTGGTTTTCGAACTAAAACTTGTGTTTTCGTCAATGTAAAATCTGTCAAACGAAAACAAGTTTTCGCTGAAAACCACTTGAAAACTCACGTTCCACTCATTCCAATCGGTGTCTGCGCTAGTTTTTTTTTTCGATTATTTATCGAAGTGGAAGTCATATTTTATCATCTTTAATACGCCATTTCGGATTTATTGCTAATTGGCTGACCAAAATAAAATAAGCATGGAAGTAAAAGGTTGTTATTGAAAAGAAATTGAAGGAAAAGTATTTTGGTTTTGTATTTGTGCAGCAAACCGGTAAACAAAGGATGTAAGAAATGTCAACGAAAACACCAACAGTCGGTGTGAACAGCCTTCAGCCCACAATCCCAAAACTCGTTTTCAAGGTGTTTTCGTTGTCGGTCAGAACATTGTATTAGACAAAAATCTCGCTAGAGACGTGTAAACACTCAATAGAGTACGGCTGGAAACTTCGTAATCTGTTGCGCAATGTGGTGGGTGGAAGTGAGAACACCAATGCCGATACTAATGCCTGCGATGCCGTTGCCGAGGTAGCCCATGCTGGCGATGCAGTTGCCGAGGTAGCCCACGTTGCCGATGCCATCTACAAAAGTACTACCGCTGCCGTCCATGCCGGGTGCCCCATTTCTGCTCCAGACGATGCCGCCATTCCACTTCCACATTCCACAAAATTAATGAAGCAAATCGAAGAGTTGGAGGGCCGCTCTGCAACGAAATGCCAACGCAAACTCGATTTCGGTGACATTTAGCATGCCTTGCAGAAGTATAATGGGGATGATGTGGCATACCCAGTCCAACACTTCATACGAGACTTCGAGGAAATCATGCAGGCAACGGCGGCGGACGAAAATTTTAAGTTGCTCGCTCTCCGTCGCTCGCTCACTGGAACGGCGGGTGTGTTTCTAACAACAACAACTGCGCTTAATTAAAGCGCTCTAAAGAAGATACTAGTAGCTGAATTTGACTTTGCAGTAACCCGGCAGGAAATATACAAGATGCTGGCGTAGCGGCGGTGGAAGAGGAATGAGGAGTCACTCCACTGTCCATGCAGGCCATCGCAAAAAGCGCAGATATCGCGGAGGTGGTTGACCTAATCATTGATGGTATCGGCAATATACCAAATGCCCACTTGTTACTATCGGTAAGAACCACTGATGAGCTAAAAGCCGATATCAGAACAAATACTTTGCGAT